GATATAATTTAGCAAGAGAATGGTTGCCTGGAAACCGAAACGTACCACAAAATTCAATGTTTGTTCTTTTATATGAGAGTCAGAATTTTAACAATGCTATTTACATCAAAACCAACTTTAATAATAGAATGGTATTCCAAATCAAACAACGCCGCTAAATCACGTTCTACAGTTGAAAAGGTCGAAAGAAATCCAAAATGTAATTAAGAAAATACTCTAAGGAAAAAAAACACAGCACAAATATTTCCCTGTTTTTTTCTGTCTTTTTTATGTGTGTTAATCTGCTGAAAATGTTTAAAAAAACATTGAATGGATATATTTTTTTTACAAGCGAAAAGCCTGCAAAATTGTGCTAACAACTTTAAACTTTGTTTTAAGGGCTCTGATTAATTGATTTATTAAAATTAATCTCATTGTAGTGGTCGATCAAACACTTTATTCAAATAGTATTTATTAATACTCTATTCTTATGAAAATTTAAAATCAATAAAATCAATGTTTCTCTTGTGATCTTTCATTAAGTATCATTGGCTCCAGTACCCTACAATAGACACATCTGCATGACTGCATATGTGTGAATTATTTGAGATTTATTTGCTCGGAAGTTAAAAGTGATTCCAGTTCGATTGCTTTTATTTAAACTTTATGTCTTTGATCAATAATTTTCAAAAGTAAAAGCAATAAAAAAATAATTTTTTGAATAGTTTTGTGTCACATACTGAACATAAACAGTCCTGAATAAATTCAGCAAAAGTTTGAAAGCCCCATCATTTTCTCATTTGTAATATTTTCATGATGTTACTGTAGGCTCTTAATTCTTTCTTGGATTATCCAAACACGGCGAAAATCCAGACAGATGAGTGAAATGTTCTGATCCTTTTTATGACTGAAGTATTTTGCCAAATTCACACTTTGACTTACACAAAAACAAGCTTCAGATACATAATTTTGCTTGGGGTAATATCTTATAGCTTCCGATTGCAACGGTTTATAATTGAGTCAACATTTGTTATTTGATAGTTTTCTTGATCTGAACAGGGGTATTGAAGCATGTTCTTTTTTCTTCCTTGAAGTCTCACCCCCTTTCTCTTCAGCTCATACAGTGGACTGGAGGGCGATAAATAAGAAATATTTTATTTGTTTCAAATCAAATTTCATTTTAACCAAACTTAAAAAAATGAAATTCTCTCTTTACAACTTTAAAATTAATGAAAAAACTACAATTTTTAAAACATATTTTATACGTTTAAATCAAACGGCGCCAAAAACTTTAATGTAATATGAAAACTTCTTAAGGGGGCCGACTGGGGTTTCCATTTCGTAATAACTCGCGCATCAAAGAAATTTAATTGACGTCGGAAAAGTGTGTTTTTGACGTTATGAGAATATGAAGCTCTTAAAGAAGGGGTAATAAAAACTGTATTAAAGAATTAGTAATAACTAGAGGTACTGTGAACAATGAGCTCACTAAATGATACCCCCGTCCCCCACATGGTTATAACTGATGACAAAGCCCGTGTTTTGCTGTGGCCGGGAAACCCAAAATATGTGTGAGATCAAAAAGTAAAATAGAAACATATGTAATAAAGATTCTGTGAAAGTTTCATTAAATTTCACTCAGTGGTATAAGAGGAGTTGCGGAATAAAAATTGTATAAAAGAATACCAATTACAGTAATACTTTTCAATATAAATATATGCTCTTTAAAGTTAAAACATAGAAATTTGAGAATCTCTCCAATATTTAATTATTATCTGTATAAATCCTTTGTATCCATCCATATATAAATTTGCTTTTTTGTTAAAAAGTGGCAGGGTATACTGTGGAGAGTCTGTTACATTCTAACAACTCCTGAGTGAAATTTAATGAAACTTTCATAACATATTGACATTGTGCACCTCTTACATGTATTTTACTTTTTGATCCGACACATATTTTGGGTTTCCCGGCCACAGCAAAACATGGACTTTGTCATCAGTTATAACCATATGGGAGGCGGGGATTGATTATGTTACCTCTAGTTTTGTTTGTGTTGGAGAGGAATTCTAAGTTGGCATAACTGTTTAAAAAATATGTTTAAATCATATCCATCATATTTTATATAGTGCTCTAGAAAATTAGTTAAATTTTGGTATTTTGAGATGCCCCCATCTGGAAACAAGACGGTAGATTTTTTTGTTTCTTACATATAATGTACAATGTACTATTACTCATCATATATTATAGTTTGAACAAAAAGTATGTTGTAGTATTTGTATTATTTGCTTTAAAGTGTAAAAAATTGACACTTTCCTAAATAATTCTATAGTAAATGTACCTGTATTTTGAAACGGTCCCTTGAAAATACCTAGATGGTCGATTTCCCCCAAACTTGTTTAGTACACTGAAGTCAATGTAAGTTATATATGGTATAAAAATAAAGAGTTTCTCTAGTGTAGTTTTCACACAATAAAACCCAAGTCGGCTTCCTTAATCTTTGCATTGTTACCAGAAAACTATGAAAGAGGGCATTCTACTATCACCATGTCTGTTTAGTGACAGTACGTTTAAAACAGTATTTATAACATTTTAACGCAGCTAACAACCATACCACATCGGAAGACCCAACATCCATAAACATCAATTTGACAAAATAACCCTATATCTCAACAGTCGTCATAAAATAGTAACAGAGCATCTTTAAACAAAAAAATTCAAAACATGTATATGTATCTATCCATATCCTGCGTGACAAAACATTCCAGATATACCCCTGACGTAGTGCAAATATCTCCAAATCAATTCTAAAATAAAACATAAAACATGAACCCCTGGAAAAACCAGAAGTGGGGTCAGGCAAAATAACCCAATATCTACATACATCATCTCTGACATACTAGCAGAATATCCCTAAACCAGTAAAAAAAGATCTTTTAACATATATATAGTACTTTTATATGGTATCCGGGTATATTGTAATAAATTGGAACCGGAGTTGAAATTATTAGTGTTGTAATTCCGATGGGTACTTATTGTGCCCCTTTATTAGTTGACTTGTTTTATAATCTTATGAAGCAGAATTTATTCAAACTTTTACATAAGGAATACCATTTATTTGAAATTCATTCTGATATATTAAGGACATTTTATCAATTAATATAATATATTTATCAACACAAAATATGGACTATTCCCGTGAACTTGAAATTATTAGTGTTGTAATTCCGATGGGTACTTATTGTGCCCCTTTATTAGCTGACTTGTTTTATAATCTTATGAAGCAGATTTTTTTCGAACTTTTCATTGTAAACTTTCCTAATTCATGTAGCTATTTCACCTGCTATGCCTTCAAACTTTTTTTTCACTACTCCAGAGCTTGCTATGAGTACGATCGATTTTTAAAACGGAGCATACTTTTCAATAATAAGTTGATGTTACTAGGATTTCATCAACTTCTTTTAAAGTCGGCATTCGTAAATTCTATATGGTCTGTATATTAAATTAGTTAGCAATAAGCTCGTCGTTACGCTGATTTGTTTCAGACCTACAGCTGTATTGTTAAGCTTTTATTACTATACTGAATTTAATTATGGATTGTTCTGAAAACCTGATCAATATATAGGGCTCATGGCAGGTGTGTCCAATCAGTGGGATGCTTAAAGTCTTATAGGCACCTGATCCCATCTCTGGAAGTTCCTTGGGTTTGTGTTTTATGTCCTAATCAAAGAATTGTATTGTATATAGATTTTTTTTATCGATAAATGTTCGTTATTTTTGCTTTTTAAAACAATATATGAATATCAAAGAATATTCTTACTATTTTTACCCACAAAAAGGCAGCAAGTCTAGAAATCATAAAATTTTCTCGACTCGAACAAAATATATATATCTACAGAATATTTAAGCAATTTAGACATAAAACATTAAAAAGTAAATAACAAAATCACATTACTCTTTATTTTGTTTTCACAGAAATATTTATTTAAAAAGAAAATATAGTACATGTATTATGACTTAGTGAAAATTTTGCATTATGACTATTTGAATAACTTCCTCGCTGTATTCATTGCTTTGACGTCTAAGTCAATAGTTCATAATTAAATTGTAGGAGAATTTTTGTTTAATACATCTATTTTAACATTTTATATTTCAATTCTCTTCTATATGTATAGATTTCTCCGTATCTTCTTCATGATTCTTCATGATAGATGCAACACTGGCATTTAAAAATGTATTTATATATTATAGTTTATCGTTTGTATATACATACGAAAGGAGCATCAGAATAAAAATCAATATAGAAATGATGATGAAATTCCCTGAATTAATTTGAAACTATTTTAGGTGTTTAATGATAAAGAACTCAACTTACAAAAAAAAAAAAAAAAAAAAAAAAAAATGCAAAGGATTAAAGTGTTATTGTTTTGACCAAAGTTGAATAAATATTCCTTTTTGTTACAGATTAAGATAGATCAAAGAAAACTTTTTCATTAAATATTGGAAAAAGAAGAGACTATAGATGATGAAACAATATTTTATTTGATCTCCTGCAAGTTTTCTATGAAAGGAAATAGCGTGAAAAGACACCGTCATGTCCCTTTTTATCGGCAAATATTGATAGAAAAGTAAGATTTTCATCCCAGAGGATTGTGTATAATTGTATTTCATTAATGAGCCGTACAAATCTGAATTACGGGTTATGCAGTTAATCAAGACCTCGAAACCCTGCAATCTGGTCTCTATCACTTATAGGCTCAAAAAGGTGATTAATTACATTTTATCGCGGGAGGAGTAGAATGGTGTTCAATATACATTAGTTAAAAATACTTGATTAAAAATCACTAGTCCATGTTAACATTTGATAGGATTGGTAGGTGGGAAAAATAAAATGAAACTCCTCAGTTATTTGTATATCTACATATCCAGTACAATTCAAGATGGTTCATAAAAAAATGTAACCTCATCTGATTTATATTAAAAATGCAAGTTTAAAATCTTTCTTATAAATATATGCCACTCACCTGTTGGACTTCGGAGTTAAAATTCTGAGGCTGTGCATGAACTTCTGCAACAATTAAAACGAAAAATAAAGTTGAAAATAATTTGAACACAACAGCGGAAGGACTGAGATCCATAGTAACAGAGTCCAATTCCTGGGGATAAATTTGGTAGTTTGGGGCTGTGAGTTCCCTAATTACAACTCTCCGAATGTGAAGTCTTGTAATCTTGTACCGTGGAGTAACTTTATAATGACGCGCCCCCAAATGAACGCCCCCTGATGACGCGATCAATCCTATAGCAATAGGGAATCCGCAAGATACAAGCCAATAAAACGATGGGAAAATAATAAGCATCCATATTAAACAAGTGTACAATAGTTTCTGTTATGCTTATTATTTGTTTCGCAATTTAGAATCATACTTTTGCATGTTCATTTGATTTCAAAGAAATGCTTTGTAAATTTTATTGTACTTGTAAGCTTGAGGAGATAACATTAAGATTTTTTTACGTCTATGATTTTATTCATAACGGATCCTTCCGATATTTCCCGATCATGACAAGGAGCACACAGCGGGTGTGACCGGTCAGCAGTGGATGCTCACTCATCGATGGCACCTGATCCTGCCTCTGTTTTAGAGGTCTGCGTTTGCTCTGCTCCTATTTTGTATTGTTTTATGGACATTGATATTGAATACTGTTCGTTAGATCCATATCCTTAATACACAAACACACTAGAACAAAAAAAAAAGAAACATTTTAAAGAAGTAAACTATAAAAAAAAATATAAATGCAATTTTGAAAGATTTTCATATACTATGATTATAATTCTACATACATGTACTAATACATGTATTATCAATTTTGTACAATACAGGTTACTGTCAATTATGTGGATGTTATATGGTTATCAATATTCTACAAAACAATTGCAAATTCTATGGTCAATTCATTGCGTTGAATTTTTACCTGACATTTTCAATTAAAATTGTAATGTCATTGCTTCCACGATGATTTGTACACAGACTGCTCCATTTTGCCTGATAGAGATAGAATAATCACTGCGGGTTTGACCAGTCGACAGGGGACGCTTTCTCGTTCATGCCACCCGATCCTGTCTCTGATGTGTGTACACGTGTCAGATTTACTCCGCTCTCAAGTTGAAATACTTCTTTAAATTTAACTTACTTGACCAACATTCGTCACTTCCACATTCGTTTAAAGCTGTGTGGTTTTCAATTATTCAATTTAATTCAATTTATATCACTCAAATGTTCTTTATTCTCTATGCAAAATGAAATTAAATATTTCCATTTCTAATTTTGTTCTCTGTGATAACTCTTTGAAAGTTGTCGGAGTTTATTTCTTGATAATTCTGCCGGAATGTAAATGTCCATATCTACATTTTTAAAGTCTAAATCTACATAAGGAATCACTGTCTATTAGTATAGTATTAACGATAGTGGGAAACATAGCATTAACGGGCTTGTTAATCATAGTTTCACAAATATTTTTAATATATGTTTTGCAATCGCAAATGATTGTTTTCGGTGTTAAGTACTTTTTTAACTATGATGGAATACAATGCAAAAATGTTGACTGAAAGAAAAACATTACACTCTGCATCAGTGGATTTACTTTTTGAATTTGGTATATTTATAACAATAAACATCACCTTTTAGATAACTGCCGTGTAAAACATAAAATATATATGCATAAATAAAGCATAAAGGGTCCGATATCTTCAAAATTTCCCTGTCTCTGACAGTGTTTTCTATGTCTCGATTATTCAAAAATGGTCATTCCCAGGTCATGAGTGCATACGCCCTTGGATTTCATATCATAAGGATAAACGACCAAAGTTCGGGCAAAGTATACAGAGTACACAAAAAGGATTGCTGAGACATGAAAGTGAAGAAAGTACGAGGGGTTATCAAAAAGTGGACTGAGGCTATAAAATAAGTACTATGTAGTCGCGGATCTGTGCTTTCAACATTTATAAGGAACATAAAACGACAAAAAATAAAGATATGTTAAAAATTCTAGCTTGATACGTTCATTATTTGCCAAATTATTATAAAATAAAAACGGCATTATATGGTCACCTGGCGCCGTCGCCGTTTAGTTTCGTGACGTCCGATAACGTACGTCATTGTTTACTATGTCCGCTTCTTCTACCTCATACACTTATTTTGATAAGATTCCCTGGAGCAGAGTAAGTATCTTGTTTATATGACTTTACAATGTCAGGAACAGTGGCTTTCAATACATATAATATTGCAAAAGGATTTATACATTTGGAGGGATCCTCGCTTGATTTTGCCAACATATTTTGCTTTGTGGAATTTAATATGTACAACACATGATCAACGTCATTTTTGACGTGATTTATTTTTCACACCTTGAGTACATATCGACATTAACTTTGCATCAATTTAATTCTCTCTGAATCTTTTGACATCTAAAAAAAAGAGCTATGGATGCATTTTATTTCACTGTATCCAGTTTAAACATATCCCAGTTTCCCTAGGGCTTTTTTAGTTTTTTCAGGGGCAAAACTTTATAGAATGTTGGAAAAGAAAACCACTCTCCCTATTTGACGTCATTTTCAAGGCCTTATTTGTTTGGACACTCCAAGTGAAATTTACGATCAATTTTTATAAAACTTCCAAAATAAGCTAAAAATTTAATATTTTAAGGAACAATTGCGTTCCAACACATATCTGAATTTACGGGATTTTTTGGATGTCAAATCTTCATACCAAAAGAATTTTTCTCAGTTACACTTAGGTCGGAAAAACGTCGTGTTCGAGGTTGCGCCGCCTGGACATACCATTGCTTACAAAAACATTAGTAATTTATTAGAAAATAATAATAATGATTTGTGGTTTATTCTATAGATAGAAAAGATGATGCTAACTAGATATTTTAAAATACATTGATGTATCTAAAACGGTTTTAATTTTATAACGCTAGTCCACGAACTTTTTGATACCCCCTCGTACCTCTAAGTGTTAAGTAGATAATATGTTGCCAGGTAAAAATGTATTTGTTTTCAAATTCCTAGTATGTCGGTTAAATCCTTCGTCATACTGATGTTTGAATGTTTCGTTTTAGAAGCTAAAAATGTCTCATTCTCTTAAACATTATGCCTTAGGGTTTAATACTTGTTAATGTCTTGACTAAAATATAATTCCAAACCAATTTGTTAACCAGACACATAGAAGTACAGCTCTCATTTTACACAGCTCGTGATAACATATATCCATAGAATTTCATATAGCAGCGGCATAAGAATTCATGTCACATATCGCACTAATGACTAGCGTATTAAAAAACTGTTTTTGAAAAAAGATATATTTTTAGTAATGTGTGATCCTGAATTCTTTTTTCATTTGTGTGGGCTAAAATCTCTTTCAGGCTCCAAAATAATTTCAATCTTAACACAGTGCAATTGAATAGATACGTTTCATTTGTACATGATACATGTGTATAATTATCTCTTAAAAGAAAAGAAACACCTACTAATTTTATGTGTTTAAGATGTCTTTGAATTATTGAATGATACCTGTATCCTTGATCAAATCCGTCTTAATTTAGCGATCTTCAATTTCTGTACTCAAAATTCAAAGTAATGGTTCTTGAATATTTATTTTAAAATTTTAACTTAAAAAATATAAATGTTATAAGTACAAGATAAAATAGCTTTTTGGATTGTAATTTATATTTGCATGATAATTTGGGATTAAGAAAACACTTTCATAGTAAGATAAAGATACCAAATATTAGGATTAACATAAAACCTTTCAAATTTCTTCCTATTGAAACAACTTCAATGATCACAACACATTGATATAGTCAACGTCATAATTTAATAACCACAGAATATTCAAGACACGCATAGGGTGGGTTGAATATTGTTCTTTGAGCTTAGAGCTGCATAATTATATTGACCAACTGAAATTCGATATTGTTTTGTGACATGATTATTAGATTTCATTCAGTTTTCTTCGTCATTGTTTACATTTGTTTTCGTAATGCTTAGAAATTAAAGAGCTTCTCCGGGTCGTTGTCATGATTTCTCTATTTAATAAATTCTTCCTTGTCTGAGTACCAAGATTAAACAATTAAACTGAACTTACTGAAACCTACAGAACTAAAAAAGAATTACTAGTAATACCTGTCCATACAACTCTATTCTTAGTTCCATGCAAGGCATATTTGCAAGTTCATGGATTTCTTTCTGGCATTTTGTATGTTTGCCAACATCTAAAGGATTATCCAAGTAAACTTTCCTACAAATCGAACAAGTCGAGCTACGAATATGATTTCTCACGCCTACTCTTGTTGTTTCATTCTGTTTAAAAGGTACATTATCGATATTTTCAAGCACACAACCTCTATTTTAAAGGCGATAAATTTTATTTGCTACAATATTATACAAGATTTTTTTTTTTGGAATATAAAATTGTGTTTGTAAATCATATATATGTATAAATCAAGGAGTGGAACAAAAGGAAATGTAGAAGATTATTTCTGGGTATATTTTTATAACACATTTCTATGTTTTGGGAGTATAATGGTAGGAAATGTTTCTCTTGATGTAGTAAATTCATCATAAAACAATACATTGTTTCCTGTATCCATGACCCCTGAAATGGACAGCTCAAACTTTTGAAACTGTTAATTTTTGTATTCATACGAATTTGCTTCAATCAAACAAAGAAAAATAAGATTTCTCATGCCCTTGACTTAATTTTTTTTTTTTAATTTGCCGCGTAAGCAAGTTATGTGATTTTTTCTGCAATACTCGAAACGTCCATTCTTATATATGTTTACATTAACTGAATCATATCTCAATTACTTTCTATGAAAATCACGTTTAACCTGCATAGCCGTCTTGAGCAGTGGCACTTACATCAATGAAACATTCCAACACTACAATATATAATGCGCTGGATCATGCTTTTTATGATAATTATTTATATAATGTTATCTTTTAGTGTCTTTTATTTTTGTTTCCTTATTGTAGAAAAAAAATCATAATCTGCATTCTGTATTTATGTAATTTTTCTGCAAAAGCTGGAAAATTATTCTCGATGCTTTACAACAAAAGCGAGCAATTAATTTTTTAAATATCAAAGACGTTAATTGTTTATATCTATGCTGCATAAACGATCATATAGAACGTATGATTACATATATTTCCTAAATTGTCTTATTTATATGT